GGTTTCTTGGTGATAAATTCCTTTATCTTTTGCTTCTCTGGGAAACTCTTTCTCCTTCCATTCTGAATGATAACCTTGCCAGGTAGAGTGTTCTTGTCTGTGATTTTTTCCTTTCAGTGGTTTAAATATATTGTGCCACTCCCATCTAGCCTAGAAGGTTTTTACTGAGAAGCCAGCTGACAGTCTTATGGGATTTCCTTTGTATGTCACTAGTTGCCTCTCGCAACTTTTAGGATTCTCTCATTATCTTTAATTTTGGACTTATGTGTCTTCCTGTTGGCCTCTTTGTGTTTATCTTGTTTGGTGCTCTCTGCACTTCCTCTCTTTGGACGTCTGTTTCCTTCCTTAGGTTAGGAAAGTTTTCAGCTATTATTTCTTCAAGTAGATTTTCTGCCCCTTTGTTTCTCTCTTCTCCTTCTGAGACACCTATAATATGAATAATTCTTTTTTCTTTGATCTGTTCAGCTTGGGTGATTTCCTCAAGTTGCTCATCCAGCTCAATGATCCATTCTTCTGTATCATCTACTCTGCTATTGAATCCTCTAGAGAATTGTTCATTTCCAGTATTGTATTCTTCATTTTTGATTGGTTCTTTTTATATTCTCCAATTCTTTGTTGATGTGTTCACTGTGTTCATCCATTTTTCTCCCAGGATCAGTGAGCATCCTTATGTGTTTTTGCTTGAACTGTTTGTCAGGTAGATTGCTTACGTCTGTTACATTTAGTTGTTTTGCTGTGGTTTTGTCCTGTTCCTTTGTTTGAATGTATTCATTTCCCTCCTCATTTAGTCTCTTTCTTTGTGCTTATATCTACCTATTAGGTGGGTGAGGTCCATCTCTTTATCTTGGAAAGTGGCCTTATGTAAGAAACGAGTTTGGAGGCCGAGCAGTGCACTTCCCTCTTGTCGGCAGTATCCAGTGTTCCAAGAGTGACACTCTGTGGGCTAAATGTGTCCTTCTTTGATGGCAGGGTTGCTCTTGCTGTAGTTTCCCAGGGAGTCTAGGCTGTCTCTGTGGCCAGTTGATTTTAATTATCAGCTGTGTGTGACTGCTGTGGATCTGTCAGTCACTTGATTGCGTTAGTAGCACCCCAGGACAGCTGTCTGCAAGGTCTAACATCACATTTCTGCTGCAGTTTTTCTATTTAATGAGTAAGCCCCTGGCATGGCTGGTTGCTAGGCTCAAGGGCTTATAATTTCTAAAGAACTCCAGCTTGCTAGGCTATTCTCAGCTATCTCAGCATTGCAGCTGTATGGGGCTAGACCCAGGATTTAGAAGGTGAGGCTGATCTCTCATGTAGCTGTTTGAGTAGTACAGATCTTCCACCACTGATAAGCCCCAGGCCCACAGGTCCACACCCACCATCAATACAGTCCTGGCCCTTGCACAGACCCCCAACCCTTGGAGTGGACTCAGTAATGCCATTGCAGATGCCCCCAGACATCTGACCACTGCCCCACACACTCTACACACTCCTCATGCATGTTCTGCCCCACAGAAGTGGACCCACTCACCTGCCTGCAGAGGATCCAGGCACCCAGTCTATGCAGGCTGAAAGGATGCCTGGTGGCCTGCTGTCGGGTAGGGCCAGTCCCTATGATGGACTGCCTGCATTGGCTAAGCTGGATTAAATCAATGCTATAGTAGGTAGGGCAGTCCCTGGGCAAACAGGCCAGAGAATGTATTCCAATAGCGTCTGGCATCATCAGTGTCAGCACATCTTACTAGGTTACAGTAATGGCTGCCACCAATATCTCAGTCCCTGGAGACGTCTCACCTCTCACCAAAATGCATCCAGAGTCTATCAAGTGAGTCTGTTTTCACCAAAGGACTGTGCACCTTTCTTTCTGGTGATTTTAGGTTGCTTTCCAAAATGCGTGAATTTGCACATGGGCACTTTAAGAGCTGGATTATTTCTGCTGATGTCTGATAGCCTGTCTAGGGGTATTCACTATTGTAGTCAATAGCCAGCAAAGCCAGATATTATGACACTCATCTCAGTTGTGCTGAGTTCAAAGGATGCTTATAGTGGTAACACTCCCCCACTCAGGTCCCCACTCCTACGGGGAAGGCTGCATATGATAAAATTGCTCCTGGCTGGCCGTGAAGCTCTGCATCTCATGAGGTGCCTGTTTTCTCTCGAGAAAGGAATTTCTGCCTCTTCTATCTCAGTCAGGACTGTCCCTTGTTATGGTGATTCTTTTTATCCAGTTTTCAGTTCTCTGTTAGGCTGAAGTTTTCCAAGAATAGTTGTAAGTTGGTTGTCTTCATGAGAGGAGACTAGTTCAGAGTCCAACACTCCCATCTTGGTACCAACTTCAGTGTTCCTATTTCTCCACATCCATTCCAACATTTCATTTTATTTTTTTGGTTTAATAGTTGTCATCCTAATCGTGCGAGGTGATAGATCATGCTGGTTTTGATTTGTATACCTCTAATGATGACTGATTATTTTGCAAAGATTGGCACCTGAGCTAACATCTGCTGCCAAACTTCTCTCTGTTTTTCTTCTTCCCAAAGCTCCCCGGTTAATAGCTGTATATCCTAGTTGTAGTTCCTTCTGGCTCTGCATTGTGTGATGCTGGCTCAGCATGGCTTGATGAGTCGTGCTAGGTCCATGCCCAGGAGCTGAACCAGTGAAAACCTGGGCCGCCGAAGTGGAGTGTGCGAACTTAAACACTTGGACATGGTGCTAGCCCCTGATTACTGATTTTAGCATCTTTCACATGTCTTATGTACCTTTGTGTATCTTCTTATATGTCTAGTCAACCCTTTGCCCATTTAATATTCATGTTAATTATTTTTGATGTTGTTGATTTGTGGGAGTTGTTTATATATTCTGGATATCATCTACTTATCAGCTATAAGCTTTGCAAAAGTTTTCTCCCTTTCCATATGTTTCCTTTTCATGGCATTGAATGTCTCTTTTAATATGCACAAGTTTATACATTTGATGGAATCCCATTTGACTATATTTGCTTTTTTTTGCCTGTGCCTTTGATGTCACAACCAAGAAATCATTGCCAAATCAGATGTCATGGAACCCTTTCCCTATGTTTCCATCTAGGAGATTTATAGTTATAGGTGTGATGTTTAAATCTTCAATCTGTTTTTGAATTAATGTTTGGAGGTAGTGTTAGGTAAGGGTCTGACTTCATTCTTTCAAATTTGGACATCCAATTTTCCCAAGATTATTTGTTTAAGAGATTGTCCTTTCCCCACTGTGGTATATGCGCCATCATTGAAGTTCATCTGACTGTATACATCAGAGCTTATGTCTGGACTCTCTCTTCTGTTACAATTATTCTATGTCTTTCTTTATGTCCATACTACATTTCTTTGAAAACTATAGCTTTCTACTGTTTTAAAATCAGGAAGTATGATGTTTCCACTTTTATATTTCCTTTTCAAGAATGTTTTGGATATCCAGTGTGACATTCCATAGAAATTTTACGATGGGCTTTTCTATTTCTGCCAAAAATGTCTTTCAGATTTTGATAAGGATTGCTTTCAATCTGTACATCGTCTTGGGTAGAATTAATACTTAACAATATTAAGGATTACAGACCAGGAACATGGCATATGTTTCCATTTATTTATTTTATTCTCTAATTACCTCCAGCTATATTTTCTTGTTTTAATCATACAAGTCTTTCTCCTCCTTCATTAAGTTAACACGTAAATATTTTGTTCTCATTGATGCTATTAGAAATGTAATTGCACTCGTAATTTCTTGTTTTCCATTATTCCCTTTTACTGTAAAGAAATTCAGCACATCTTTGTGTATTAATTTTGTATTCTACATCTTGTTAAATTCGTTGATGAATTCTCTATTTTATTTAATGGGGATTCTTTAGAGTTTTCTACATATAAGAACCTTTCATCTGTCAACACACATGATTTTACATCTTGCTTTCTGATTTGCATGCCTCTGATATCATTTTTTTACCTACTTGTTCTGGCCAGGATATTTAGTTCTATGTCAAATCATAGTGATGAGATTGGGCATCCTTGCCTTCTTCCTCATTATACGAGAAGAGCTTTCAGTCTTCCACTAATCAGTATGATGTTAACTCTCAGCTTTTCATATGTGAAATTCATTATATTCAGGTATTCTCCTTTGATTCGTCATTTGAGTGTTTTTATCATAAAACTGTGTTGAATACTGTCATTTTCTTTTTCTACATCTTTTGATATTAACAGCAGTGTTGACCTTCATTCTGTTAATGTGATCTTCCTTGTTTTGATTTCTGTATGTTGAAACTCCCTTGAGATCCAGGAAGACGTGGTACTTGCATATGGTGTGTGGTAATATTAATGTGTTTCTATTTCAGTTTGCTGGTGTTTTTTGAGGATTTGTGCATCAATGTTCATCACAGATATTGGCTTGCATTGTTATTTGTAGTGTCTGTGTTTGGCTCTGATATCAGGAAATGCTAGCCTCATAAAAAGTGTTTTGTTAATTTCTCTCCTCTTCACTCTTTGAATATGTTTGTACAGAATTGGTGTTCATTTCTCTTTAAATGTTGCTAGAATTGTTTAGTGAATTGATGTGTTCCAGAGCACCTTTTTGTCAGAGGTACTTTTATTTTACTGTTTTAGTCAAGTTGTTAGTTTTATGTTTGTTGTGATTTTTTTATTCCTTCATTTAAGGTCTAAATACATTGTATCTTTCTAGAAATCCATGTTTTTCTAAGTGTCAAATTTTTTCTGTGTATAAGTATTCATTGTAGGCTCCTAATTACTTTCATTTCTATGGTATTGTACACGGTATCTCTGTTTTCACTGCTGATATTAGGTGGTGATTCTCCCATTTGGGCTTAATCCCATTATGGTTTGTCATGTTTGCATAAAATTATAAAGTATATTTGCTGAGTGGAGAAATTTCATAATTTTTATTTGATATATTTCAGCTGTGTCTTCTCATGACACCCATGGCTTGTTGTCAAAAGTTATTTCACATCAGAGAATCCATATGAGAGCAACGACTTGCAAATATAGTAAATGTGGCAAAGCTATTAATCAGTCTTCAAGACTTACTCAAAACCAGAGTTATCATGCTGAAGCAGAACCAAACACATGTAATCACTGTGGGAAAGCCTTTCATCAATCATCAACTCTAAAAAGACGTACGAAAATCCATACTGAAGAGAGACCATACAAATGTAAAGAATGTGGGAAAGCCTTCAACCGGTACTCAAACTTCACTATACATCAGAGAATTCATACTGGAGAGAAACCTTACAAATGTAAAGAATGTGGCCAAGCCTTCACCTGGTGCTCATCCCTTACTATACATCAGAGAATTCACACTGGAGAGAAGCCTTACAAATGTAAAGTATGTGGCAAAGCCTTCAACCAGTACTCAAACCTTACTAAACATCAGAGAATTCATACTGGAGAGAAACCTTACAAATGTAAAGAATGTGGCAAAGCCTTCACCTGGTACACATCCCTTACTATACATCAGAGAATTCACACTGGAGAGAAACCATACAAATGTAAAGAATGCAGCAAAGCCTTCAACCAGTACTCATATCTTACTATACATCAGAGAATTCATACTGGAGAGAAACCTTACAAATGTAAAGAATGTGGCAAAGCCTTTAACAACTGCTCAAATCTTACTCAACATTGGAGAGTTCATACTGGAGGGAAACCTTACAAATGTAAAGAATGCGGCAAAGCCTTCAAGCAGTACTCATGCCTTACTCGACATCAGAGAATTCATACTGGAGAGAAACCATACAAATGTATAGAATGTGGCAAGGCTTTTAACCAGTGTTCAAACCTCACACAACATCAGAGACTTCATACTGGAGAGAAACCCTACAAATGTATTACATGTGGAAAGACCTTTGTAAAAAATATACAGTTTAGAAACCATCAGAAAGTTCATACTGGGAAGTAAAATCTTGAATTATGTAAAAATTTGTGACAGTGTTTATTTGAAGACCTAAAACATTATCAGAATTCATAGTAAAAAGCAGTCAATAGTAGTTTCAGATAGTACTCTATATCACAATATTTATTCAGAATTATCCAAAGTTACAACATTTAGTTAATTAATTAGTATGTTTCAAATAATCAAGGGGATATATGTTTTGACATGTATGCCAATGATGTATGTATCTTTTCGTATTGACAATACTTGGGAATTTTTTAAAAGTCAAAGTTATTGCAGTTCAAATTTCATATCATTTCACACTATGTCTTTATTCCTAGTTTATTTGTGAAATGAAGTGATTGCTGTCTGCTGCCTCACTGATATGAGAGACCCTTGTATACTAGGTGGGATTCATCATATTTCCTTTCCATAGAAAATTAAGGACGCTGTAAGGTACAATGTATGAAGAAAACATAAATGGAGTTATTGCAGTTTCTGCTTTTGGTTGACTTATCACATTGATATCTCACCATTAGGTAGGTGTTCAGGACATCATTCTTTGTATGAAGATAAGACACAGGAACATTCTGAATTTTAAAGAGTTTTACCAATTGCTTTTTAAAGATACAAACACTGTGAGTTTATTGAAATCCCAATCTCTTTATCATAGCAATAGATCGAAGTGATAAATATTAGTCGACATGGTTGAAATAAAGAAATCTTTACAGATATCTGAGAGAACTACACTAACCTTTCCCTAAAAGGACATAAAGTTAATGTACATCTATGTTTCCTGCATAATTAGACACAGTATTGGAAATCATAAAAAGAAGCTGATTCTCAGATCCTTGTATTAGAAGAACAAGAACTCTTTTTCAATGCTTGTAATCTGTATTTTAACCAGGGATCATACAGTGGATTTTGAAATGCTTTATTAAGACTATGTGTGAACTTACTATATTTTAATAAATAAAAATGGTTTTTAATGTGTTAAAACTCATGTGAAATGAATGAGATCTTATCACACCACGATTAACCTCTCCCACTTTATTTAAGGGCATAGGCAAGAGATGATAACAATAACGTCTATGATACTGCAGTGAAACATTACTACTAATCATTTTTTCCTAGTTGCCCTAAAGTCAAATAATTTGAAATTATGTTTCCCACAATGTATGTCTTGTTCCTTTTCCTCCTTTTTGTAGCTATTGGGACATTTTAAAGGTTATAATAAAGATTCAGTGGAGAGTTTAGCTAAACTACTTCATGATATTGCTGCCTTGCCATTCATGTTGTGTAGCCAAGCAGCCTGGAGGTCCTTGAACTGACACCACCCACTTCTCCACCCAAAGATCATAATAAAGACATGAGCCCTAAACGCTGCTACTGTCTCTGTGTACATCCTGCCTTGGCCTCACCTTGTGAGCTCTTAAGGCCTATCATGTACTTCTTCCAGGACCTGTGAGTAATAACCTTTTCTGCTTCAATTTTTTTGACGTTGAACTACAATTCACCATCTATCCTTTAGGTCCTCTATTTAACAAATGCTTATTTAATAAAGTCTCACAGGTATAATTGGGGCCATACTTTTGGATTCTGAATCACTATAAAATTTGACCCTGTAAATTTCTTCACACATGTCCTTCGCGTATGGAACAGAAGTTGATTTTCATGATTCTGATAGATATTGAATGCAATAGGTAAATATATTAAGCTGAATATATATTTTAGGAGTAAGAGAGCAAAGGAGAGAGAAGTGTGTGTCTGTGTGTGTGTGTACACATAACTTCAAAAGAAAGGGAAATACTGGCTCAAAACAAGTAATTTCAAAATTGTTGGTGACTTACTAACAAACTAGAAAACTTTCAGATTGGCAATGGAAATCTATTTTGTCTACTCTACATTGAGTTAATTTCTCCTCAGCCTCATTTCTATTAGCTTGAGAATCTCCGCCTTCAAATCCTGTCTTTTTTTTACTTACCTGTTAATCATGTATGACTTACTACATGATTCATTTGTTCCAAAGTTTATGAACTATTGTTTAAATGACCTGCTCAGGGATTTTAATAATGGTTTTCCTTAAATTTAATGGTGATTAGAAATTGATTTGAAGATAAGAGTAATTCCACAGTTAGCATATTAAGTTGATCTTTTAAAAATTAATATATATACTATTTCTTGAGTGGAATAAAACACAACTCAACATTTGTTAATATTTTTTCACTTTTTATAAGGGACATCGACAAAGTTACTTTCTGTGATGTTTTCATCAGGTGAAAGCTTGGAGACTTCATAAGACGTGGAGTCATTTTAACATTTATGTGAAGTGACCAAACACACAGGACAGTGATGGGTGTCAATCTATAGTTAGAAAAATATTCCAATAGAAGTGTGGTTGTAGTGTCAGGTAAGAGACAGAAAATGGATAAGGGAAGTTGACTGAATTATGCATCTGAGGAAGACACCTGTTCCCTGGCTGCACAACTGCCTCTTTAAATTTAGGGGATATATCTACTTGTTTCATTTCCTAATTGTCCCCAGTTCTTCTGTTTCTCCTCATTGTAATTCCTGCTACATATGCATCTCAGCCATGGGATTTATGAGTTTTCCCCTCAAAATGGTTACACCTCTACTCTTCCAAGTTTAATGGAAATCGCCACCATCAACTTATTTCCCCACGTTAGAGACATGATATTTGCATCCTGAAGTCTCTTTCTTGTCAAAATGCCCAAGTAGCATCCATACCTATTAGAGAGAAAACTGCTTTTTACAGATTTCAAAATCCATGCAAGTCTTTCCCAGACAGTATATATTTGTTTCATCATCAATACTCACCTGACGTCTTTTGAAAATCGGCAGAAACATACTTCTGTGCTCTCTTTCACTTATTCCGGTTCTAATTGGACATTTCTAAATGAAAATATTTTAAGTCTGCCAATGTCACTTCATAACATCACACTTCAAAAGACTACCATCTCTCCAAAGATGAACTGTGAGGAACTCATATTTAGGCGTCCAAAAGCTCTACTCTCTGAATCCGCATTGACCCATCAGCTTAATCCCCCAGTGTTCATTAATCTGTGGGAAAATTCCTTTTTTCTTGAATGAACATTTCACACGGTGCTTTGTTTCATAGAGGTTTACCTACATTCCATGCTTAATTTATTTTGGGGTAAATGTTTTATTTCAGATTGATATTTATGCATTCAAAGACATTTCTGTAATCCTCATATTGTTTCAGGAACTCCTGCTTAATAATGACTAGATTCTGACGCTGCCGTATAAGCATTAATAAAGTTTTATTTACATAGATATTTCCATGATAATCACACAATAGTTCATTTACAATTGCATTATGATTTATTGCTTCTCTCAGAGCATAATCTCAGCCTGCCTTGTTTGCCACTGTCTTGGAAATGACTGTCTAATAGTTGTTTAGGACTCAGAAGGGGATGAATAAATGCATAACTGAACAATAGTCAAAGAGAATTTGCATATTTCTCATAAGATTATGTGATTATCTACTCCTTATCCAGGACAGGAAAGATGTGGATACTCTGCGATCACGGCTCATGAGAATGTAGGGGCTTACAGTTGGGAAACATGCAGTAACTGGTGCAATAAAGATCACCAGGTTCTGGCTGGGATTATCAGAAAGAGTCACATACAAGAAACAGATGGAAGAGAGAGTGTACAGAGACACAAAAGTGCTCACCAACACAAGGATGCTTTGGGTGGCTCTGGCTTCAGCAGAGGATCTAGGGGAGATTTGGTTCCTATGAATGTGTTGGACCTGCTGCTTGTGCCTGTACAGGATGAAAACCATGGAGCCACTGCTCCAGATCATGAGCCCCAAACAAAGAACATCAGGAAATAATGACAATCCTGTATTCAGTAAGACTGTAATTCTGCCATGAAATACTGAACAACATAATCCCAAATCTTTTTTCTTTGTGATGGTTTTGTTGCTCCAATTACCAGTCACACGCATAGTAAAAATTATATTTATCATCAATTGTAGGACCCAGCAGAGGAAAATAGAAGACCCAATGTACTTGGGAGCTTTCACTCTAAGCTCTGCCCACCTTGTGCTCAGGATGCCAATGGTGATGGCCTGGAAGACACTCAAAAGGCAGGTGGTGCCAATGGACACACCCCTGGCCACTCTGTGAATATAGAAAACAAGTTTGTATTCAATATCAGTGAGAAAATTTTTCCACCCAAACGGTATCATTGTATCTGAGATTCCTGTAGGGAGCAGGACCAAGATGTTGGCTACCAGCAGATGTTCAACGATCAAGTCTTTGCCCCTCAGCCTGCATCCCGTGAAGTGAAGGAAGAGATAACGGTAAAGAAGAGAGACATTCCCCAGGACTCCAACTATATTCTCTGATAAGAAGATCATATGTATTGTGAAATTTCTGGTAGCCATCCTGTCCGGTGTCTGTGAAAGATACTTGCCTTCTTAGCCAGAGTGTTCTGCATGGAAATATGAGGCATGTGCTACTTGTATCATATCAACTGAAATCCAATATTGTCCACTTACCATTAGTTCCCATGAAGAAATATTAACTTAATGTTGTTCTTTTACTAAGAGGTCTCCAAGGATTGAATGTATAACTTTTGAAAGAGCATGTATGATGACATAATCATGTCTATGAAGGCTATACACGTACTGGCTCACTTCTTCATTTTTCCCAAACCTACTATTTTCCAGGAACTACGATTATTTTCATTCTAAAGAGCAGCAGAACTTAGATACAGGGACATTAAGCATTTTGACTAAATTCACATGCTAGTTACAGGCAGGATGTGACTTAAACCTGGCTGGGCTGGTAACAAAGCAAGCACGTTTAATCGCTGTAATCTACTGACAAAGGAACTTAGTCTTTCTAATAGTCTGCATAGATATTTAGCTGTTTTCATAACTTGTCATTACATTTGAAGTTGGTGGTTAATTTACTATTTCATTGCAGTTGTAACAAGTTTCACTTATATGCAAAGATTTATTTCATTGGCCAATATCAATTGTGCATAAAGCTTTTGAGGTAGCAATTAAGTGTAGATGCTCTGATTGTAATACTAAGGACACCTGTCTCATGACCAAGCTAGATTTCATAAATACAAGATTGGCTCAATATTAGAATGGCAACACAAAGAGTCATTTGCTTTTGTGCCACGAACAAGACAGTACTACCTATCACATAAATGGTGAATATGATAGTGTGCCATAAATTATTTTACATGAATTACTAATGTCATAAACTTGTGTTGTATGGAAAAAAGTTACTAATTTCAGATCACATGAATTTATAAATATGTGAGTAAAGTAAAACTATTACCAAGGTAGTGAGATTTGTCTTATATTTTCAAGACAGTCACGCAAAAAGGAATCAGTCAAGTGTAAAATCTTTTACATTTTATTAAATTGGAATAATACATTTTTTAAAGTAATAGAAGAATATTTTTAAAACAGAAAATATCACAAGATACCTTTGAGCCTGGCTGTGGCTATCTGAAACTCCTCATTATACATTTATATTTTCCCTCAGTACTGATTCCGTTTCTTTGAGAGGGAAAACAGTCTCATTAAAATGAACAGACCACAGAGGTTTCACTAGGAAAAAATTACTGTCTCCATTAAGCACTTCATACACCCAGAGTCACAAAAAACATTTCTACCCCAACAATTGCCATTTGGATACACCACTCCCGAACAGGACTACACGATTCCTGTAGATTCATCCTATTCTTTCTTAGAAGCACAGAGGTGTTGTGGGCACACCTGCAGTAATCCTAAAAATGTCATCTATGATTCCTGTAAATTAGGCTGAAGAGCAGACTGATTTCAGAACAACAGTACTTAATACATTAAAAAGTCGGGTTTCACTATCACTTGTATTAAACAGCAAGAGTCAAGGTCATAGTTGATTACCCTACAATACATTAGGAGCCAGCAGTGTTTGGTGTAGGATCCTACTACCTCAGTCAATGCCTGAGAATTATTCCTCCTTCCTGTCTGGCTTTGGCACTAGACCAGATTCAAAGCCTGAAGAATCCTTTCATTCTGCCACAATCACTTACCCAGGCTCCTCATATCCCACCTTCTTTGCACACTCTTCTTCTCAGATTGAAATAGAAAACCTCACCAGACATCTTCGAGGATACTGGATATAGTGTACTGATCATGGCAGCCAGTGCCTGGATTAGAGGGAGGCAGCCAGACCACTAGATATGGGTTTGTGATTCTCTGACCTCACTCCCAATTACAACAGCAATTATCTTTTCCACTGCAACCACCATGGGAGGACAGGCTTGGGGAACTGAGGATATTTGTCAAAAACTTTTTCCAAGTTGTTAAGTACAAAAAGCAATTACAACCTACTACTTATTTCCAGAGAGACAATTGCAGTGTTTTGAAAGGCACTTGATCCATGGAGGCAGACAGGGCTGCACGTGGAGGCCCCAGGAAATACTGAGTTGACACGCGAGGGACTGGCAATGAAGCTCATGGGTCTTGCTGAGTTCTCTGCTCCCCTCAGAAGTTTTTCTATGCAAAGTGTGTTCTTTCCTAAACTTCAGACTACTTATTGTCAGCATCGTTTAAATTCTGAGCAGGCAAGTAGAACCAAAGCACCTTAGAAGGATTTTCAAAGCCCTACGAGTCAAAGGAAGAACATGATGGAAAACTTACTGGATTTATTTGCACAACTCAATGCCAATTACTGTGGAAGTCTGAGTGATTAACTTTTTAGTAAAATAAGTTAATATTGACCCTCTGCCCAGTGGTTATAGAAAGTCTAAGTTCAACAATATCCATAGAAATTTATGTGTGTATCCCAAAGGAAAGCACCAGGATCGGAAGGTTTAACAGATTCTACAGTTCATATAACTTTCACATAAGTCAATGCTACTTTCTCAACCCCAGGGCATTAAATGGTTACCACCAGCCTTTACACTTCATTTTTGCTGAAATTTCCACAAAATTTATTCCTTTTGTAAATAAAGAAGTCACATAAAATATGAGTTACAATTAATCCTTTTTTAAAAATACAAATCTGTACTTCATCTGGGATTCCCATTGATGGGATTCAGGGCAGGCCACCCCAACATGCGCCACTCCGGCGCACGGATTATTTTGAGCTGAAGACCATAAAGGCTCAGACTCAGCAAGAAGTTTGACCTTTCCCCGCTAACTGCCTAGAAGAAATTTAAAATAAAGGCCTGTCATCAGGACAGGTCATCACCATAGATAACTTTGGGTTCTGGTAGACTGGGGGGATCCTTGCTAATCCCACTCTTGTCAAAGTTCTACTTACCAAACAGTTGCTTTTCCTTTCCTACACTACACAAACCCTCCCAACTTTCAAGTCAGAGATTAGAGCCATATGTTCAAAATCCCCTGCAACTACTACCTCTACACACACACACACAAACACAAATATATATTCCCTTAATCTTCCCCTACTGTCAGAGTAACTTCGATTGCTGTCGTCTGATAAGCAAAGAGGGATAAGCATGAAATGGCGGCTTGGGTCATATGAGTACATTTCTGAGGATCATGGCAGCGGAATCCCTACCCTGTGATATGTGGGCATTTTTCAGTAGCATTGAGGACCAGATGCTTTGGGGACACAGAGATTCTTGTACTTTCTGGAACCTAGAGCAGTGACAGTGAGGATGGAGAAAATGTTTGATAAGGCCACTTGAGAACATAGTTTTAAAAATACTGATGCTCAACTAGCTGTGGGAGATGAAGAAATTTGGGTAAAGCTGTTTAGACAGAATGGGGGAGTCATGCCCTGGGGGCATAAACAATCCAAATATCCCAGGAGCTAAATGCAAAGAAAAAGAAAACCTCCTAAGACAGTTGAAATGCACATGACAGTGACCTCTTTCTGTTTCCAATTTTATCCCACTAGCAAAACTGGTGATATTTCTCTCGCTCATTTAAATGGGGTTGGGAAATGTGGAGCTGCCCTGGGTGAGTCAGGAGCAGCGTATATTTCTGCCTCAAATCCAGTCCATCCAGTATGAAGAAGAGAAATCCACACATTCTTTCTGGGTCCATGCAGTCTTTCCAGTAGCCTGTGAGGAGTGAAGGAAGGATTTCGTCAGTTGTGGAACTTAGTACAATGGAGTCAGGTAGCAGGTTAGGCTGACACATTCAACACAGGCAGGACTGAAAGTATACTCCAGTTCTAATAAATCCCAGTCTGTATCTGTTAGTTTGTGTTTAACTAAGAAACTATAGACCTGTATTTATGAAAAAGAAGTGTCTCCTTTTGTTCTTACACTCATGGTAAGTGGGGCAAAACCCAGGACTCTAAACGCAGCACAGTGATTCTCTCACCAGGGACCCCTGTTTCTTTTTTCTCATTTCAAAATATATTTCAAAATTAGGATAATCAAAACAGTGTGGTATTGGCATTAACAAAAAGTTCAAGACCAATGGTACAGACGAGAGGGCCCAGAAAGAAGCCCATGCATTTATGGCTAAATGATGATTGACGAGGTTGCTAAAAATACATAATTGGGAAAGGCTAGTCCTTTTAATATGTGGTGTTGGGAAAGTGGAATATCCATGTGAAGAAGAAGAAAATTTGACACTTATCTCACACCATATACAAAAATCCACTCAAAATGGATTAAATACTTACACCTGAAACTCCAAAACTCCTATAAGAAAACATAGGGGGAAAGATTTGTGATCTTGATATTGGAAATGATTTCATTGATATGACACCAAAATGATACAAGCAACGAAAATGAAAATAGACAAATGGAACTGCAAAAGGTGAAGTTTCTGAACAGCAAGGAAACAGTCAACGTAATGAAAAGGCAAAGTGTAGAATAGAAAAAATATTTGCAAACCATATATTGTATATGAGGGTACTATCCAAAGCACACAAGGATCTCATGACAACTCAGCTGCAAAAAACAAATAACTAAAAAAATTGGCAACATAATCGATTAGATATTTCTCCAAGGATGTCATTCAAATTTCCGGCTGGTTTATGAGAATGTGCTCAACATCACTCATCATCAAGGAAATGCCAGTCAAAACCATAACAAAATACCACCTCACACCTATCAGCATGGCTATTATAAAAAACACAAACGATGGCACATGCTGGTGAGGATGTGGAGGAAAGGGAAGGCGGGTACACAGTTGGTGAAAACGTCAATTGTTGCAGCCACTATGGAAAACACTATCAAGTCTCCTAAAACGGAACTACAGTATGACCCAGCAATCAATCTCACTTCTCAGTATAGAACCAAAGGAATTGAAATTAGAATCCCAAAGAGCTATCTGTACTCGCAGATTTATTGCAGCATTACTAACAAGAATCAAGATATGGAAGCATTTTAAATGGCAATTGACAGGGGAATGGAGACAGAAAATGTGTGAGAGGTATTCTCACACATGTATACTTCCTCTGTATATATATTTCCAATAGAATGTTATTCAGTCAAAAAAGATAAGGAAATTCTGTCATTTGCCACAACATGAATGAACCTCAAGGACATTGTGTTAAGTGAAATAAGCCAAACACATAACACAAATACTAAATGGTACTACTTATGTGACGAATCTATCATAATCAAATTCATAGAAGCAGAAAGTGGAATGGTGGTTGCCAGAGTCTGGAAGGAGGGCCAACCACAGACGTATCGGCCAAAAGGTACAAAGTTTCAATTGCACAAGATATGGAAGTCCCACGTATCTACACATCTGTGTGGTACCAACACTGTACAACATAGTGCTTATAGTTAAAAACACTGTATTTCATACTTACAATTTTACTAAGAGGGTAGATCTTATATTAAGTGTCTTTATCACCAAAAATATAATAATAATAAATAAGAGTGGAGAAGGAAACTTTTGGAGGTGATGGATAGGTTAATGGCTTAATTTGGTAGCAATGGTGACGATTTTGTAAGTGCATATGTATCTCTACACTCATCAAGATGTATACATTAAATATGTACAACATTGTGTACATCAAAAATGAAATCAAGTTGAATCAGGACTCTGAATAAAAGGAGAACGAGTCACAAGGAAACTGGGCTATGGATGCGGAGGAGGCACAGAAACCAAGGGGCAGCTGGGGACAAATGGTACCAAAAAGACCTCGGATTCACCAATTAGGTGCAGGGAGTTTTGGAACAGAGAGGGTCTCTATGCCACCAACTATGATTAGACTTCGCAAAGCTAAAAGTTAACAATCTGTAGCTTTGCTGTGTTATTATTTAGATTAATTTTTATTAGAAGGTGTGTTCCTTATTTCATCCAAGTTTAGAGGTGCTGCGCCTACAGGAGCATTTTTCAATAGCAGCGTCAATGAGGGCTCTGACTCATGGACCAAATTCCTAACAGGCGGTCACCACCCAGCTGGAGGACTATTCTAATTTTCACCACAATGAGTATTCATAAACGTGTGGGGAAAAACTCAGAGGAAAGTTTACGGAGTTTCTGGACGAGAATGTGTGAGGCGCTGTGACTTGCAGTGTGGTATAACGGAGGGAAGATGGCGGCTCCTTTACCTCAAGTCAGGGAGGCGAGAGTGTAAGGATTCGGGAGGAGAGTTGGATACGCATCCTCTGCACTTTGAAGGGATGTGTATATATACATGCATCTTTGGAGAGAGATTACTCCGTAATGCAATAAACACGTCATGAAAGCCTTTATTTTTGAATCAAGGTTTTCATTTTAAAATGTAAATGTTTAAGATATTTTGAGAATTATATTTTTGCAATAATTCTTTAGATTCAAATTTTAATTTCCCTCTCAATGATATCACAGAGTTCCAAGAAATATTTTTACAACAGAGAGAGAGAATATTACCCACCCTTGAATAAGAGACCATCTGAAGCAGATCCTGGCTGCAGAGTTTGGGGAAGTAACTGCAGCCCCAGGATTGACCAGGACAGGAAATGTGTGAGTCTTCCAAGTCACAGGGAAAATCCTACTGAAGAGAGGACTCACATATTTTGGTTTTAGGTCACGGGCAAATTGCCCACCTGGAGGGTTGATTTGACAGCAGTTTTTCTCTTTTCTCTTAGAAGCTCTGCCTGATGTCTTCTGTGAGCTCTGCAACTCATTGTCCTCCTGTCAGCTGCTGTACTGTGGACACAGGGTCAGGTATTTCCAGACTCCCCAGAATAATGGCCTTTGGGCCGGTTCAGGCACGGGAAGGCACCAGCAGAGACCAAGGATGTTCCTTCCCCTCCCAGACTGGAGGGAAGGGACCTGTCACTCAGCGTAAGGCCTTAGATAGTCATCCATATTGTCTGAACCTCTCAATAGCTTGTTTCTTCTCACTGCTGACTGGGATTCCATGGTGTGGATTTCCCACTGTTTGTTTACCTGTCCAGCAATCCTTAGACATTTAGGTATTTTCAAGCTTTGAAGATGACCCTATGTCACAATAAACACTCCATATATCCTTCTTGGGTGATATAAATTTCTTAGTTTAAATTTGAACTGTTTATTATATTCAGAAAATTACATTTTGAAGTAATTTACTCTTTAGATTGAAATGTAAATTTCCATTTCAAAGGAGTCCACAGCGTTTTTCAAATCTTTTTACAAAGTACTAAGAACATTTCAGGACAACTAGTATATCACCAAACTCGAAAATTCCCTCTTGATAAAAAGTTGAGGTTTTGAACATCTCCCAAGAGCGGAGAAGAGCGGCTGTAAGAGCTAGTCCCACTGCAACTTCCCGGAAGATCCTACTCACAGTGGGTGGGAACGAGAATTTGAACATATCTTTTTGAGGACATGATTCAGATTAAAACAGTTGTGAAGTGCAGTTTATATGTGGGATTCAAGAGGGATGTACTATTAGACAATCCATTGGTAGAATTCATCACATTTATAGATACAAAACAAAAAATCAGGAGATCACGTTCATAGATATGAAAGCAGCTATTGGCAGAACTCACCATCGGTTTATTAAAACCCTCAAAATTAGGGACGGAAGGATCTTTCCTAACTTGACAAAACAAGTCTTCATCTTGATCATGAGGCTGAAGTAGGAAGATTCACACTGAGGACAGGAATAAAACTAAAACAGACACGAACACTTATATTATTTAGAATTGCATTGAAGGCACAGCCAAAGAAATTTAAAGTGGCAGAAGATTTGAAACAAAGAAGTAAAATCTGTTAGGGGAAAAGTATTACACATCTGGAAACACAAAGGGATTGAAAGAAAAACACTACAAAAATAATTCATTAAACGAATAGAATAGTTCATTGATATACAGAAAGCAGATTACGTATAGACAAAGAATCATAATTTCACAAATGCATACGATGATGCAGTTACAAAAGGATAAAATAAAATAAGCTATCAAGGAAAAATCTAACAAAAGATGTAAGGTATCTCTAAGAAAAAGGATGGAAGAAATTCCTGAAATATATTCAAGTAGACATGAACAAGGGAAAATCACATCATGTTCTTGCATAGGAAAACTCAGTATATACTAAAACCAATTGTCCTTAATCTAAACTATAGACTGAATTTGGCCTCAGTGCAGATACCATCAGTTAGTTACTGTAACTAGGTATATGACTGTAAAATCTTACAGATGAAAATAAAAATAAGGATAGTGAAAAAATTCTGGAAAAAAAAAAGGTGAGGGTGGGTAGTTCTATGACATGTCTTGTTTCATGAATAGACTTATAAAGCAGGGGAGATAAATATTCATAAAGATACCAAGGTGCATAAGGAGCTAATAAGAAATGAAACTAGAATGTGATTAACATCTTTAATACTTGTATTTATGAACGTGATATTCCTATCAGAAAGATTAAAAAATTTATTCTTCACATTCTATGCCAAGATAAAGTTCCAATGAAAGATAAATACATTTGGTAAAAAAAAAAAAAACAAAAAAAAAACACCTCACATCTTCTGATAAGGTTAATTCTGACAGGTTTTACCAGATTTAGTGTTTCTAAGGATGGGCACACCCCCAGGGTTCCCTACCCTGACATTTTCAGTGATATCGCTCCTCCTGAGCCCCAATTAGAATGTGAATAAAAAATCTGTCTGCTTCTTTCTTTAAGAAACTAAAAATAAAGATGCCTATCTACACAGGATGCCCAAATTATTCCGTCAGTGGACATAAGTGAGGAAAGGCACTGAATTTCAGACCCACAGAAGCATCATGTTCAGCCAGATAGGAAACGTCTCCCTGAGGCCAGAGCTTCATCATTCACAGGTGATCAAAGGCTTTCACAGGCTCTGCATTTCTCTTCAAACCACACCTTCCACACGGGCTTAGACCTGAGAATATGACACCAAATGACAGATGAACATGTCACAATTCACTGATTTCTGGCAGATCTGTGCTCTGTCAATGATCCTGTAGAGGCACAGAAACACTAGGATTTGTCCTCAAGCCATTTACCCTGTGCAGATACACTTCTAGGTTTGGACAGAAGCTTTGATCTTCATTGGGACCCTTGCTCTGTCGAACCAGCTTCTCTAGAAGTAGGACGTTCTCATCTCTCTTGAGAGTCTCCATCTCAAGGTAACTCCCCGTGCCAATATTACTGATTTAGTAAAGTTGAAAGAGGAATAAGTAAGAGGAATGCTATGCTGTGGGCGAGACATAGGATTCCTTCACCTGATTAATATCTCTAATTTATCCAAATATTGATAAATAGAGATTTGTTTCTCAAAGGTCAAAAAAGAGAAGCAACCCCAGAACAAACAGGATGTAGAAAATAGAATTAATTCTGCATGGGATTGAGCATAAGCTCAGCCATATGGTATTAACTCTACTCACCAAAAAACTTTCATCTGTGGAAGTACAATGTAAGCTCAGACAGCTGGACACTAAGAGCATGTGTTCATAACTAGAATCCCATGCTTGCATCACAGAGCAGTGGAACAGACCCAAAGAATCCTTAAGGGAAAAGTAGGGGACCAAAAGGGGAAGATGAAGCCACAGTCTGCCCTAACCTCTGGTCTAACTGATGCTACTCTCATCTTGACCCAATATGGTCTTCCCTCTCTTCTCTGGGCCTCCCTACTTCCCACCTCCATCATTTCACTATATCTCACCTACATTTTATAACAACTCAAGTTTTTCCCTTTATGTGAATCCATACCTAGCCCAAATATCAACTGTGCCTATCAGAACTCCTCAAAAATTTCATGCCTGACTCCACTGAATCCATGACTTTGAAAGTCTAAGGTTCTCCTAATTCCCTTTTTTGGAATTTTTATAATTTCTATGTATTTATAGTCTCAGGGTCTCAACTATCTTCAATTTAGTCTTCTTGGCAAAATCAGTCAACAGAAACATAGAATCAAGTCTCCCCTGTGTCAATTTAAAAATCAAATTCATCTGTTATTTTATCATCAAAAAATTTTATTGTGGAATAGCCAAAATAATTGCAATTTGGGATGTGCATGCCATGGCAAACCAGAGGCAAATACGGCAAAATAAGGAGGAAAGTTACTTTTAGAAAGAAAAGGGGATCTGTTCTAAAAAAAAATATCCATTTGGGGAAGTAAGAGTTTGGGGCTACAAAGGCTTCTCAATGGCTGAACTACAGCATTTCAAATTGGCTGGGTGATTACTAGGTGAGAGAAAAATCTTCCTTCAGAAGTAAGGTAGTTTTACTTCCTGTCCAAGATACAAGCATCCATCTCATCCTTTTTGCTGTAACTGATGAAGTGTGATAGTGTGTCAGAGCTCCCTCTACAGGCTTCCCAAGTCTAATTTAATTAAGGTTTCTTTATTAATTTCCACATTGTCTACCTTTTTTTTCATTTTGTTATTTTTTATTATTATGTTTGTAATTGCAGTAACATTGGATTATAACAATATATAGCTTTCAGATATACATCGTGATATATTTTGAATTCTGTGTAGATTACATCATGTTCACCACCCAAAAACTAATTATAGTCCAGCTCCTCACATGTGAGCTTAATCACCCCTTTTGCCCTCCCCCCTCTTTCCTTCCCCTATAGTAACCACCAATCCAATCTCTGTTGCATCCAACACAGGAGCAACAAAGTATATAAGTATATAAAGCAACTATTAACAGACCTAAAGAGAGACAATGACAGCAGCATAATAATAGTTGGGGACCTTAACACCCCACTTACATCAATGGATAGATCATCCAGACAGAAAGTCAACAAGGAAACAGTGGCCTTAAATGAAACACTACACCAAACGGACTTAATAGATATATATAGACCACTCCATCCAAAAACAGGTAAATACACATTCTTCTCAAGTGCACATGGACCATTCTCAAAGATAGACCAAATTTTGGGAAACAAACCAAGCCTTAATAAATTTAAGAAGATTGAAATCATATCAAGGATATTTTCTGACCACAATACTACAAAACTAGAAATCAACTACAAGAAAAAAGCTGGGAATGTCACAAATCATGGAGACTAAGCAACACGCTACTGTGCAACTATTTGATCAATGAAGAAATCAAAGGAGATATCAAAAAAATATTTAGAGACAAATGAAAATACAACATATCAAACTTATGGGATGCAGCAAAAGTGGTACTAAGAGGGAAATTTATAGCAATACAGGCCTACCTCAACAAAGAAAAGAATCTCAAATAAACAGGCTTACCCTATACCTGAAAGAACTAGAAAATGAAGAACAAACAAAGCTCAAATTCAGTAGAAGGGAGGAGATAATAAAAATTAGAGTGGAAATAAATGAAATAGAGACTAAGAAACAACAGAAAAGATCAATGAAACTAAGAGCTGTTTCTCTGAGAAGGTAAAATTGACAAAACCCTCAGCCAGACTCACTAAGAAAAAAAGAGAGAAGACTCAAATAAATAAAATCAGAAATGAAAGAGGAGAAATTACAATGGGCATCACAGAAATACAATGGATTATAAGAGAATACCATGAAAAGCTATATGCCAACAAACTAGATAACCCAGAAGAAATCGATAAATTCTTAGAATCATACAACCTCCCAAAACAGAATGAATAAAAAATAGACAATTTAAATAGACCAATCACAAGTTCTCAAAACTTGTCTCTTTGGGAGAAAGGGAGGATACTGCAACTGACCTGGAACCTGAGATTCATCCTGAAAATCAGCCACTTCCTCCTCTTCCTACCCCTTCTTTGGGATTCCTACTCAAATGAGATGATTTTGATAAGTCACTCCTGAGTTTTCAGAATACACCCTTTTCATGGCATCAACATACTCTCTCTTCTGCTCCTACCACAGTACGGGCTGGAAGACTTTAAATTCCTAGTTCACTGTTCTGTGTGATCCTCTGCTACAAGAGTGGTTCACAGACAGCGGGCTTCTACATGGAGGCCAAAATGTACGTTTCTCCTCCTCTGTGTCAGGTGTCCTCCCAGTCATGCCCCAAAATTCTGCTACAGCAATGGGGATTTGGGCTAGATTCACCCATCCCTGAAAAAGCAAACACAGGGGGACCTGTTCCATCCCTAGGGACCACAGCCTGGACTCAGATCTTAGAAATGTGTCCAGGAATAAAGTGGGAAGAGGAACAGGCAAAGATCAGGCTATCCTGGGGATTAAGTTTAGGATTCCTTACCTGATGTATGTCTCTGATTCACCCAAATATTGATAGATTCATTTGTAGGGGGAAGAAAAACAAGAGGAACTCAGAACAAACAAGAAGTAGAAAATGGGATCAATGTTGTATGGAATCCACGTTAAGTTCAGCCATGGTGTGCCAAGCATCCTCAGAAAAAAAATAATAGTTCTTCATCTGAGGCACACTGTGGCCTCGGAAATCTTGGCACTGAGAATGCATTATCCTCACTGGAATTCCACGCCTGCATCACAGAGCAATGGAACAATCCTGAAGGATTCTTAAGGGTGAGGATGGAGACCAAAAGGAGAAAGGAACCCACAGTCTCTCTCCTACTAACTCCTTCCTGGCCCAACATGATTGCCCTGCTCTTCTCTGGGCCTCCCTACCTTCCGTCTCCATCCTCTCATCACATCTCACCTACGCTATGGAATGACACTCTAGTTCTTCCACTTATGTTCATCCACATGTGACCCAAATATCACCTGTGAATAGCTTCGCTCCTTAAAAATTTCAGGTGTGACACCATCAAATCTATGGCCTTAAAAGTCTGAAGTTTTCCCGGGCATTTTTACTAATTCCAATAGATTTGCACTCTCAGGATCTCTACCATCCTAAACTTAGTCTTCCCTGCAAAATCTACCAACCCAAGCAGAGAATTCAGTCCCCCTTTTAATTACCTCACAAAGGAATATGTTTTTTTTTTTTTTTTAAGAAGGTTCAGTGAGCCATATGGCCTTTATTAAAGACACTGTAAGATGACACATGGAGAGAGAGATGTCAGTATACCCTATAGCAAATGACTTAATAACCTCTTATAGTAATTGCTTTTCTTGTAAAGTCCCTTCTGTGCTCCTCTGTCATTAAGGACTCTCAGCTCTTCCCTTTCCAACTATGCAGTGTCCCACCCTGTTGATCACTCTCTGCTTTCTCCAAGGTCACCTCCCTGCCCAACATTTTACATTTTTTACCGTGTTTATAGTGATCGATTTGCTTTCCAAAATTTACACCCTACCTGCGCACCTAAACCCATCCTTGCTAAGAGAGTATGTGAGACTTCTCTTAGCAAAATTCAACCTATTAAGAGGGGGTGGAAGTGTGTTTGTGTGTATATATGTATGTATATATGTGAGTGCTTATACATGTGTATATAATCACACATACAGATAATTTCAGGAAGTATGAAGAGTTCAAGATTTTACCTGATTTGCTAGCAAATAAGTTAGCCCAGTTTTCCCAGATGCAGTTAGAAGATACAAGACTCCTGAGTCAGAGGAAGGGACTTTGTTATTAATGGCACAGAAAGTAACATAAGCCTAATACTTGCATTGATTCCCTTTGCCTCCCAAGCCTCACACCTTCCCAGCATTTGCCCAAAAACATTGTATTTATTTTCCTGCATGGCAAACAAATCTGTTCTTTATCCCAGAAGGAGATACTATATCTACCTTCCAAGGCTGTTTTCTACACAGATATCCTTGGGAAAACAGGCAGAAAATCTATAAATGATTCTGTCCACAAGATGCAGAAACTTGAAAATCCCATGGATATCCACTCTTCATTTCTATACTGTTTTGGCTTTTGGAAAATTTTCCCACAAATACACCACTCCACTGGATGTTCTGATTAATCACAGGCAACAGAGCCTGAGATCAATTTCATTCATCACTGGATTGAGATTACCATCAATGGGACTCCATGTGGCAGGATCAGGCTAACCAGCAGTACTGACCTCATTTTTTTTTTTTTTTTGAGGAAGATCAGCTCTGAGCTAACTACTGCCAATCCTCTTTTCACTGAGGAAGACTGGCCCTGAGCTAACATCCATGCCCATCTTCCTCTACTTTATACGTGGGACGCCTACCACAGCATGGCGTGCCAAGCAGTGCCATGTCCGCACCCTGGATCTGAACTGGTGAACCCCAGGCCACTGAGAAGTGGAACGTGGGAACTTAACCTCTGCGCCACAAGGCCAGCCCCAGTATTGACCTCAGTAATGCACCCAAGGGTTTCAGACTCAACCAGCTGAATAAATATCATAAGCCATCAGGACATGCCTTAAGAAGTCAGAATACATATGGTCCAGAGAGTATAAAAGGTGACAGGGACTAGTTCCAAGGGTCGCAATGGTGTAGCCAGAGTCAGCTGACAGTCATGCTGAAGATGTCAACAACGGTGAGGCACGACTGATAGCCTCGAGAGGCAAGTCAAAGTTCCAGTGGAGGGGTCAAGGGCCTTCCCAACAGTAATACAAGCATAACAAACAGGAACTTGTTTTCCTTTCACTAGGAAACCACAAGTCTTGCATGCAGTGATGGCCTCTGCATCAGAGACAGAGTTGGGGTTGGTCATCAGCTTCATGATGGTCACTCTCTCCAGGGAATAGGCCATAATAAATCCTTCCCTATCGATAATTATTTTAAATGTCAGAGGACTTAACTCACCAATGAAAAGATGCAGAGTGGCTGGATGGAAAAACCAAGATCTAACTGTACTCTGTCTACAAAAAAACTCACTTCAGATTCAAAGACACACATAGGCTGAAAGTGAAAGGATGGAGAAAGACATTCCAAGCAAATGGTAACCAAAAGAAAGCAGAAGTGGCTGTATTTATGTCAGATGAGATAGACTTTAAGTCAAGAACTCTCCCTAGAGACAAAGAAAGCCATTTCACAATGATACAAAGGTTCAATTCAACAGGAAGATACAATAACTGTAAATGTGTATGCAGCCAACATCAGAACACCAAAGTATAATAAACAAATAGTGACAGATCTGAAAGGAAAAATGGACAGAAATATGATATAGTAGGAGAATTCAGTATCCCACTTTCAATAATGGATAGAACATCCAGACAGAAAATCACTAATGAAACAAAGGACTTGAAACAAAACTACAGACCAAGTGAACATAGTGAATGTATCAAGAACTTTTCACTAAACAGCAGAAGAATACACATTCTTCTCAAGTGCACACAAAATGCTCTCCAGGATAGATTGTGTGTTAGATCACAAAACAAGTCTTAACAAATTTAGGAAGATCAAAATCATACCAAGTATCTTTTTCAACCACAATAGAATGAAACTAGAAACCAGTAACAGCAAGAAAACAAGAAAATTCACAAGTACATAGCGACTAAATAACACACTCTTGACCAACCATTGATTCTCCCTGTTTGTCACTGGTTGAACCTCTTTGGTATACAGTAGACCAGGCTTGCTTCCTAGCTATTTTAAGTTAAATGTTTCAAAAATGTAAGGTAAAAGCTTAGAGTTTTGTGGACCACTTCTATTGGAAGCTGAGATGTTTTCTTCTTAACAAATTGAAAATGATTTAACTCAAAGCTCTTTGTGATCCCATGGAGGTGTGAGCTGCCTGCAAGAGACTGCCGGCCATCCAGGTGCTGGGGGCTCAGGAACCTCAGGGAAGGACCAATATGAGGCAACAATTGGATCTGAGAACATTAGAGTCTCCCCCAATTAGAACAGTTTATTTATCCAAGAGGAGGGACTGCATTTGTCTGTGTAGGTGACAAAGAGTAAAATGTGGAATGCAAAACTCTGCTTGTGCAGAATGCTCAATTTCCTACTGACTCCCATCAGAACATAATTCTATTTGTATTGCCCATTCACCTAAGAAGCAGAAATGTAGCCCTGGACTCAGTTCTAGGCACTGGATATTATCCTGTGTTTGCTTCAGTAATTAATTTCTAAATATATGTTTTCACTGTATTCAATTTTTCTTTATCTTTTTTCTGAGACTCATGTGGAAGAATAATTTTAACTTGAAAATTGTAAAATATTTTAATCTAAGCTTTTGTTTCCTCTTTCCATATGTTTTGTGTTAAGTTTGGCTGTTGAGGCCACAAAAGGTATCATCATTTGGAGATACTTGGATTTGATTTTTTTTTTTTTTTGATGAGGAAGATCGGCCCTGAGCTAACATCCATTGCCAATCCTCCTCTTTTTGCTTGAAGAAGATTGTTGCTGAGCTAACGTCTGTGCCAACCTTCCTCTGTTTTGTATGTGGGATGCCACTGCAGCATGGCTTGATGGGCAGTATGTAGGTCTACACCCGGGATCCAAACCCGTGAACGCTGGGCTGCCAATGTGGAGCATGTGAACTTAACCCCTACACCACTGGGATAGCCCTGTGGTTTTGATTTTTAAATAATGATAAATTAAGTTTGCAGTATTTCCAGAGACATTTGATAGGGATATTTATTCTTTTATAGAACAATAAAAATAGTAAAACTAGATTTTCACATATTCCGTAGCATCATTTATCCTCTTTAGATTTTTAACTTGAAATACCTGAGTTAATATCTCTTTTTTTTTTTTGGAAATTCTAAAGGTGATATTGGCTGGAGTCTGAGTTGGCCAGATCACAACTTTACAGGTAGCAGAAATTTCATTCTGTCAGAACGCTCATGTGGGATAATGAACTTAAATCTCTAAAGATACGAAAGTCTGCTAAATCTTGATCTTAGTTGTGTGTGCAGTCAACACCTTAGCATCCACGGAAACAACTGTCACAGCCCCATCTTCGTATACAACGCAGAACTTCTGTCCATCGGCATTCCAGTTCATCCTTCAAAACACTGATTTATTTCTTTGTCTGTGTGAGTGTGAGGAAGATTAGCCCTGAGCTAACATCTATGCCAATCTTCCTCCACTTTGTATGTGGGAGGCCTCCACAGCACGGCTGATGAGTGGAGCAGGTCCATCCCTGGGATCTGAACCTGAAAACCATGGGCCACGGAATTGGAGGCTGGCCCCCAAACACTGATTTATTTCTATTTACATTGTTCATCATCTCCTCATACCAAGAAGCTATTTTCACAAATTTAAAAAAAAAAATTAAAAAAAAAAAGTGTTCAGACTTCTTCTCCTGATAAAAGGAAACAGATGCCACTTGCATGACATCCATCCACCATCTCACTGAGTCTCTGTTTTCATGGCTGGGAGTTAGATCTTATAACAGGTGAGGGGTGAAAAAGATGAGAGTGCATTTTAGTATAAATTCTCAATTTATTTTTATGAATATTATTATGAGAAAAAATCAGAGTATCCAGGCACTCACTAGAAAAGCGGCTTGTTTCAGTAAAGAACTTTTTCAGGAGAAAGTGCAGCCGTAGGTAAACACAATGGGTGTGAGATAGTGGTTTCACGAGAATCAGTGAGGTTGCCTAAAGGACTAGGTGGTCCCTCTAAGAAGGAGTGCAATGTGTGTAAGGGAGCCTATGTCCACATCATTCTCTGAGAATAACTGACCCTCCTCCCTCAAGATGCCACCTGGACCATTACAGAATGACCCTCCTCCCTCAAGATGCCACCTGGACCATTACTGTCAAGTAGCCTGAGTGTCCTAATATTTACCTGGCCTTTCAGGCTGACAGAAGAAATTTGGCAAGGACAGAAATTCCCAGAGACGTCTCCTGTGAAGGAAACCAGTAGCATTTTGTGGAAGGAATCCGTTTCTGGGGATGATTATGTTGATGTAACAATGAGCTAACGCTCTAATTTCCCTGTACACAGTTGTGACCACATAGGTAGGGCTGTCAGGAGGGAAGTTTGTGAATACCATGGTTGTCAATGTTATCAACATGGGACAGGAATTGCTTCTGAGTTTCTGACGAGATTTTCAGGATGCTCATGCCCCTGAGATGATCAACATCTCAATTTTTTCATGATAAAATTACATTATTTATTGATGCGTATTTTAATCTTCTAGTGAGACAATGTGAGAAACGAAGAAAACACAACAATCCAGAAGTAGGAATTGACAGTCTTTGTTTTCCCACCCCATCAATTATAGTAAATAACCCAGCGAGAGAATCACAGTTAAGAGTAGGAGGAAATACGTTCCAAAACAAATTTTTTTTCACATTGTTTAATAAAATGCACAGCACACATTAGGGAAATTTTCATAAAATAATATGGATGATAACAGGTTCTCCTTGATAATTCCTTGTTCTATACTAGTTTCCTAGTACAACATAAATCAATCACCAGTGCAAGCTATATCTTTCCAGACCATCTTACGCACATTTCAGATGCAGGATAATACATAGAGTAATAACATACAGTGCACTGCTACTTTTTGATAATATTTTACACAAACATTACATTGCAATATTATACCACCAATTGCTTTTACTAATCAAGACTACTTTTGAAGACATTTCCTAACATTAAAAAGTATGAATGTACCAGAGTTTATCTATATTTTCTCATTTTAGACTTAAACATTTTGTTTTCGTGTTGTCTAGAATGTGCAACGCTTCTACAAAGATCATTGTACTTTCTGGATTTTGAACATGTGTGAGTATTATCGGGGTGGTTCTGAAAAGTGGAATTGATGGCTCATAGGTTGCATGAGCTATATTTTATTACATAACAAATTATACTTAAATTGAGCAGCTTAAAACCACAAGCTTCTATTATCGAACAATTTCTGATGGAGAAAAATCTGGGAACAGCTTTGCTAGGTGGGTTTGGGTCAGTGTCTTTCATGAAGTAGCAGCCCCACTGCCTACCAGGTCTGCTGGCATCTCAAGGCTTGGCTGCAGACTTTCAGTTTTCCCCTTAACCCTAGCTTCACAGCAAATAATGAGCCTTACCTATTTAGATTCTCTGAAATACAATGGAACATGTCAGAAAATCACTATGTTATCAGATTAGGAAATAGACGCTCATGATCAAAAAGACATAAATGTAAGGAAATGAAAGGATTCACTGAGATAATTATAAAACCTACATTTTGAATATCCAACAAACATTTAGTTACCTATTAAATTTTTTTCACTTACTCTTATATTAATGTGTAGTGATCGTTAATAAATGAAATGTTCTCTGATTGAGTATGTTTTCTAAGTTAATTTACTGATCAAAAAACGTCCAAGGACAAAAGTCTATTTACTCGGTGACCAGTTTTCTCACCCAATGTTTCATCTGTTGGGTCACATTAGTAGATCCTCTCATTGGCATGTCATGTATTCCTGAAATAAACCCTTCTAATAATTAATTAAATAATAATAATATAATATAATAATAATTAAAATTAATATTTTAATTAAGAATTTTTTATGTAAATTAATAAATTATTTTTGTTTATTTTAAAATTTTTGGTATCAGGATATAATAGTCACAAAATCTTTCTAATAGATTTCTCTTCTTTTCTGTTTTGTAAAATAGATTTGAAAGATGCCTACCCAAACCTTGAAAATATGGAGAAAGGAATTTAAAAAGCAACCAGAAAGTTGTGTTAATGTTTCCAGTATTTAAATGCTATTTATGGTTTCCTGCTTTACAACTCTTTTGTTTGTTTGTTTCCTCTTCTTCTCCTCAAAGCCCCCCAGTACATAATTGTATATTCTAGTTGTAGGTCCTTCTGGTTGTGGCATGTGGGACACCGCCTCAGCATGGCTTGATAAGTGATGCTGTGTCCGCACCCAGGATCTGAACCAGTGAAACCCTGGGTCTCAGAAGTGGAGCAAGCAAACTTAACCACTCTGCCACAGGGCCAGCCCCTTTACAATTCTTTTAAATTCAGGTTTAATATTTGATATTTTAGAGAAATCACCTTTTTATTTTTAACTTTCTAATTTATTGGTATAAGGTTAACTATATTTGTCTCAAGATGTTTTTAAAATCTCTACACTATCAGTGTTTCTTTTTTCTACTATTTATTCTTAATATTAAATGTGACTGCAGAATTCAGGAACCCTCGAGACCACCATCAGATTTAATAATTAACTAAAAGGACTCAAAGAACTCACTGAACACTGTTATACTCATAGTTAGGGTTTATTACAATGAAAAGCTACAGATTAAAATCTGCCAAGGGAAGAGGCACATAGGGCAGGGTCCAGGAGAGCTCCAAAGCAAGAAGCTTCCAGTTTTCCTCTCCCAGTGGAGTCGTCGTGGACAGTGCTGACTTCTCCCAGGAATGGGATTCTCGATTTGAGGTTTCGATTCTGTAAGTCTCATACTCTTGGATATTTCAAAGGAGCAACACCCCTCCACAAACAAAACAACTCCGTGAACTTCACCCCCAGAGTCCTCCTCCTTAGCTCCTCTATCAATGGTGGACACCTGCACATAGACCCATGACCCCATGTTGGGAACACGGAGTCCACTATGAAGCCTCTGTCTTCCCAGCAGGCTAATTGGTAGCATTGCTTAATCCAGAAGGTTCTGCCGTCTAAAATCCAAAAACCTAGTCTTTTTTTTCTGACTGTCATATTCATCAGCTCGGAGTTGAATTTCTATTAAAACCTCCTGACCTGCTTCCTGTGCACATATTGCCCCTACCAGGGCATTCTGCCCATTTTTTACCTAAAAGTATTTTTTAAATACACTACCAAAAAAAAAAGCTATATCCAAACATATACATATTTTTTTTGTTTCAAGACCTGAGGTAAGACACACAACCTGGTCTTCAATAACTCGCAGTGTGTGACAAATTATTTTGTCTCCGGCTCTATCCAGGGTCATTTGCCACAGAGCAATCATTTTTCCTTCTCTTGTTCTTGATTGATTTCTCTTCTTTTCCACTTTACTAAACTCTTCTCACACTTTTAATTCCAGGTAAATTTTAATTTGTTGGGTTTAAAGCTACACACTCATAAACTTTCCATTATCTCCAACTTATTAAATACCCCATTTTTAAGGGATTCTTAGACTCTAAGCTTCTCCAGTGCAACATTTAATAATAAGGAAATTCAAAAAGCATTTCACAGAATATTTAGTTTAGTGCCTGCTGTGCCTACTACATTATGGATTCCGTCTATTTTTCACACTCTCTCTGTGAATGCCCATTCTGGTGCTTAAACATCTGGAAGAAATGAGTTACTCATTGTATGCTCATTGCAAAAAGAAAAAGGAAAATAAAATTTACAGCTATCTAAACAGTTTATGGAATTAGGCATTCCTTCTGCAGGAGGCAGAGAAGATCCTGAGTCCTTTGGACTCATGACTCAAAAGAAAGGGGCTGACTGATGGGAAACATAAGGCGAACATAGCAGTGATGTTTAGCTGCCACCAGCTAGGATGATCAGAAAGAGCCAAGTCAATTGAAAAGATGGAGGAGAGGGTGTAAAAAGATACAAAGGTGCTCACCAGAACAAGGATGCTTTGGGTGGCTCTAGTCACAGAGGGGGATCTGCGGGAGATGCCGTTCCTGTGAATGTGTTGGACTCGCTGCTTATGTCCGTACAGGGTGAAAACCATGTAGATGCTGGCCCAGATCATGAGCCCCAAACACACAACATCAGGAGCGGTTAAAACTGCTGCAAGGAGTGATTGCGTGATCGTGTCATTCCACATCCCAGAGCAGAATCCCAAATCTTTTTTCTTTGTGATGGTCTTGTTATTCCACTTACCCGCCACATAAAGGGGAAAAATGATATTTACCAGCATGTACAGGATCCAGAACACGGTAATGCAGGGACCAGTGCACCTGAGAACTTGTACTTTAAGTTCTGCCAACCTGGAGTTCCAAGGACTGATGGTGATGGCCTGGAAGACACTCAAGAGGCAAGTGGTGCCAAGGGACACACCTCTGCCCAGTCTGAGAACATAAAAAACAAGTTTGCATCCAAAATCACTGAGGAAAATCTTCAACCCAAAAGCTTCCACTGTCTGGGGGACTCCTCTAAAGGCAATGACTAAGGAGTTGGCTACAGTTAGGTGCTTGAGAATCAAGCCGGTGGACCTTGCTCTGCATCCAGTGAAGTAAAAGAAAATATAACGATAATGAAGAGAGCAATTCCCCCAAATCCCAAATATAGTCTGTGATAAGAACACGACTCCTATCATCAAATCCCTGGTGGCAATTGTGCCATTTCCCCACGAACATGCATTCATAGTCAGAGGATCCTGCATAGAAACATGAGTGCTGTCTTATCTTAGCAAGTGAAATCCAATATTCTCCACTGACCATTAATTTCCACTTATAAATTCTTACTAACACATATTTTCCTTTCCCTAAGAGATTTGCTAGCTTTAAATATTTTCTTGTTAGCTAAGACCTAAATCTATGCACACGATGTTCTTCATGTTTTATTTATAACTTTACAACAACTATATGAGTTATATAATTTCCCTTTTACAGGCAAGGAGACCTAGGCATACAGAAGCTAAGTGATGTTTCTAAAATCTGCCACTAGCTTACCTTCTTTCTCATAAGGGGCAGCTTCAGTAGCTGACAATGAGCTTAATCGCTCTGTTGGCACAACCTCAGACTTAGTTATGTTTTTCTAACACTCCACACACAAATGCATTTTCATGTGTATATTTTGTTCATTTTCTAAAAAGACAGATTGTGCTTTCTTTTATAATTGTGCTTGTAGCAATTTACCACTTATGCCTGGTTGCTTATTTCATAGGCAAATATCACCTATAAATGTTCAGAGATCCAGATAGAATATAGATGCCCTGATCTTAGCATAATCCTAAAACAATAACCATCTGAGACAAAGTGAAGGTTATTGAATGCACAGGTGGTTCCGTGTTGGAATAAAAAGAGGAGACTTCTGCCTCCCCACCACGAGGAAGTGTACAATTGAATAATTACGTGCTAAGTAATGGGACATGAAACATGAACAGAAGAAAAAACATTGGACATGAGACCCTAAATTGTTGAAAATATACACCACATGACTACACGCCTGTTAGTGAAGGATTATTAAATAAGACTCTACTGTAATAATGTCAGAATTGCTAAAGACATTAAAACATATGCTGGTTATACAAAGATGAATACAGAGGTATAGAAATTTCCTCACTGAGTGAGTTTAAATAGTAGGAAGATGAGAAGTAAGCCTGAGAGTGGCATTACAACTATTTTTTGAAACCAGAGAAAATACCACAAAATAATTTAATATTGGAAACCACTGAAGCCCCTGACTTTTTTTTCTACTATTGAGAAATCTAAAGTCATGAAGCTATCTTTTCCTTGAACGTTCCTTCTCTGACTTCCAGATGGAAAATTGTCTTACCATAATCAACAGACACAAGAGGCTTTTGTCAACACACAAGCATCCATTTTTGGGTAGTTCTATTAAACATATTACACACCTAGAGTAAGTTAAAAAAAAACGATATCTGCTACTATTCTATATAATAGATTATTCAATTAGCTCCATCTTACCCATTATCACAGGCAAACATTTATTTTAGAAGTACATCTACTAATCCTGGAAATGTTTCCTTGTTTCTTGCAGGGAAGATTGAACAATAAGCAAAATAATTTCCAAATCACCATGCTATAGGTTTGTGGGGTTGTTTTTGGTGAGGAAGATTGGTCCAGAGCTAACATCTATGCCAATCTTCTATTTTTCACGTGGGATGCTGCCATAGCATGGCTTGATGAGTGATGCGTAGGTTCATCCAAACTTGTGAACCCCCAGCCACTGAAGCAGAGCATAAACACTTAACCAATACACCACTAGGCTGGCCCCTAGGATTTTTTAAATGAAGATTTCCTTGCAAAATCTATATATATTTCATTGTTGCAGAGATTAAAAATCAATCTCTACAATCTACACAGATTGCAATAAATTACATTAGGAGCAGCCAAGATTAAGATAGGGTCTAGAGCCACTGGTCAGTCTCCAAGAGCTCAGCACGTGCCTCAAGAATTATCTTCCTTCCTGTGTGGCTTTGGCACTGAACCTGTTTCTACCCTAGAAGAATTGCTTTTCCAGACATGAGCACTTACCCAGTCTCCTGATAAGTCCTCCTTCCCTCACAGACTCTGCCTTTCAGAGTGAAATAGAAAATACTCACCAAGTTCTTTCCTGCTCTCAGGACTGCAGGCTCAGTGTGATGATCACAACAGCCAAAGCGTGTATAAGAAGGAGGCAAACAGACCCTCAGGTATAGGGCTGTGATTCTGTAACCTCTCCTCCCCTCAGAACAGCAATTATCTTTTCACCTATAGCAGCAATAACAGTGCAGCCTTGGGGAGCTGAGAATATTTTTGAAAAACTTTGTCCCAGTTACCAACTGTCAGAAACAATTACAAGTATCTAGTGAACACTTATATAAAGAGGCCGATGAGATTAGGAGAGGCTCTTTCTTTCCCATGATCCCTGGGGGCAGACAGGGTCTCACAGGAGAGAGCAGGAAAGCCTGAGGGCTGACACTTGAGGGACTGGCTGTGTAGCATGTTGGCCTTGCTGAACTATCTGCTTCCCTGAAAAGTCTTTCTACCCAAAATCTCTCTTCAGACCCCTGAGCTGCCCCATATTTTATGTTATGGGCAGAGAAATGGAATCACTCACAAAATTCCTCGGAAGGACTTTTACTTTAGTAATAGTCATGGGAAGAACATGATGTCAATAATTGATCATTGAAATCATTGGGTTAATTTGCATAACCCAAAGCAAATACTTAGAAAACCTTGAAAGTATGAACATTTTCCAGGAAAAAACATAATTTACCAATATTGATCCCAGTAGAGATAGGAAGTCGACACAGAACAACATCGACAGAAGGAGAAGTTTATAAAAGTGCCCTGCACAAATAAAATCACCAATATTAGATGGTTTAACACGGAAATTCTACCATTACTTTAAATATAGGATAAGCCCATGCTAACTATCCAATTCAAGGGCATTGAAAGAGAAGTAAAACTTCCGAATAATTTTAGGACATTAAATATAACACAGATACCAAAACTTCCAAAATTGTACCGAACAGAATACAATAGAAAAACTTTACATCTGTCTATAGACGCAAAGATGTAAAGTGAATACTAGCAAATGCATTGCAACAGCTCATTAAAAATCAGTAAACGGGGGCTGGTCCTGTGGCCGAGTGGTGAAGCTTGCTCATTCCACTTCGGAGGCCCAGGGTTTCACTGGCTCGGATCCTGGGCGCAGACATGGCACCGCTCATCAAGCCACGCTGAGGCAGCATCCCACATAGCACAACCAGAGGCACTCACAGCTAGAATATACAACTATGTACCGGGGGGCTTTGTGGAGAAGAAGAAAAAAAAAGAAGAGAAGATTGGCAACAGATGTTAGCTCAGGTGCCAACCTTAAAAAAAAAAAAGTAAATGACAACCAAGTGCAGTTTATTCCTGGAACTCAAGAGTGACATATTTATAGAGATAAAGATAAAAATCCTGCGACAATGTTCATCAATGTAAAGACCTCTATTTGGCAGAATTCAACATGCAGTGATGTTAAGTGAAAACACTTAAAAATTAGGAATTTGTGAATCTTTGATAACCTGATGAAACAAAGTCTTCACCTATTCATTGGGAAGCACTAGAGAGAGTCCTACTAAAGTCAAGAACAACACCAATAAGCACAAGATTGCCCACTCTATTTATTTAACATTGCACTGGAAGTATACCCTTCTGGGAATCCTAAAAAGACACTCCTTAGAAGGGCCAGCCTGGTGGCGTAGTGGTTAAGTTTGAGTGCTCCGCTTCAGTAGCCCAGGGTTCACAGGTTTGGATCCTGGGCACGGACCCAGCACTGCTAGTCAAGCCACGCTATGGCAGTGTCCCACATAAAATAGAGGAAGACTGGCACAGACGTGAGCTCAGCGACAATCTTCTTCAAGCAAAAAGAGGAAAACTGACAACAGATGACAGCTCAGAACCAATCTTCCTCAAAAAAAAAATTTAATTGAATTCAAAAAAAGACACTCCTGGGTACGAAGAACATAGTCATGAGAAACTAGGCCCACCCAGGTCTCAAAATGTCCCCCAAACACACTACCCTTTCCTCTGTCCTCATAGCCTCTCACTCAGTAACTGATATTAAACCACTCCACAATTGGAGGGAATCCCTGTAGATGGCCTCTTACGTGGAGGCAGGAAGATGGGCTCTCCTACCCCAGCACTCAGAATTCTCTATTCTCTGAATTTCCCTTTGGAGCCTACAGCTCCTGATGTAGACATAAGCAACCGTTAAAAAACAGGCTGTCACATTTCTATACAGACCATCTATGACCTTGGACTGAGAGGAACGTCCTGTGGTTTCCTGCAGATCAAAGATTGTACTCAAGTGAATTTCAGACAAGCTCAGTCCATGACTGAATCTCCTTCAAGACATCCTAAGTGCTATTTCTCAAATGTGACAGCACTTTAGAACTACCTAGGAGCTTAAAAATTAATAGAGATTCCGATGGAATTGCTCTAGGTGGCTGACATCAGGGTTTTGGAGATGCACTGTCCTAGATGACCATACGGAAAATCCTATGGACTTCAGTGCTTGTCAAGTTCGAATATATCTTGTTATATTTTGTGTGGAGTTCCTATGAATATTTAAGTTTTAAAAGAATTAGGATGTAGCTTTATAAGAAAATGTAAAATTTGGGCCATTTCGGTATTAATATGAATTATACTCCCTATCTGTTTTCATGCTTTCGTAATTTACACAATACGCTTTCTTTTCATTGTTTGGATAGAGTTAATTATTTTAAAGATATTTAAGACGCCGATATCACACCAGATTGTCAGAAAAAATGTTTTAAAGCAATGGATTGGTGGCCTAAATTATCAGATTCCCCTCCACCCACATGCCCAGGTCCTTCTCCCACGAACGACCCTGAACCTGAGCCCGGAGTTGTGTCTATGCCTTCCGGGTCCATGGCGAATGGATATAGCAATTATGTTCTGATGGAAGTTGGTATAAAATTGCACATTCTGGACAAGCAAAGTTTTTCATTTCACCCTGCAATTTCTATCCCCTTCACAGCCAACTCCAGTCCTTGATTGATCAAATAAGCCATTCCAATTGTCCAAGCTATAGATATTCCCGGATCAAACCACTGCCCTACATCCATCCCCACCAAGG